TTTGTCCCCCAAACCCTTAGTCTATTGAAAACTCTACCTGTCAATTATCTCCATGTTAAATGATAATGAAGTTCAGTTTTCTACCTTTTTTTTTCTTTTTATGATCTAGTCTGTCCTCTGTGGTAATGATATACTAGTATATTCGATAAATGTTTGATGGGTGAAAGAAATAATTTATTTCACATTTTACCTTTAGGCAGAATAAGCAAGCAAATTTTTGCCCAATATTAGAAAGAAATTCCCAATTATTACAGTCATCCAGAAAGGGGCTGCCTTATAAGAAGCAAGTACCCATCACAAGAAATGCTCACAAGAACATTCAAGTTTAAATGTTCAAACTTAAAAATCACTTGTCAAGGGATTGTGGAGAAGATGACAGGTTTGGCATTCATTTGGGTTAGATAACCTCCAAGTTTTTTCCATCTCTTAGTTTCTGTGATTCCAGATTTTGTTCCAACTGTGATCTCTCTCTCTCTCTCACTCTCTCTCTCTCTCTCTCTCTCTCTCTCTCTCTCTCTCGCCTTTTAGTACTTTGCTTCCTGGCTTCTGACAGTGTGGTCTGAATTATGGAGTCTAAGCCTTATAACACGTCTTCAAAAAGAATAGGGCAGTCAAAAGTACTGACAGTTAAGAATGGGAGTCTTAAAATCAGTTCAGTTGATAGTCTGACACAATGAATATTGCCTTTGACTATCAAAGGCAATCACAGGTTCTTTTTAAGAGTAATCACTCAGGTAGGGACTTTAAGAAAATGGATAGAGGAAGATTGACTTGACTATATAATGACAGGGAAAAAAATTGATTTAGTTGATTCAGTGGGAGGAACAATGTCAGTAATTGGAAAGTTTACTTCCTTGTAGACAAAAGCAGTATCTTGGGGTGTTTTTTTTCCTTACTCATTTACTTATTCTTTCAGTCATTCAATCAGCAGATATATTTTGAGAACATAGGCTAAGAAGGAGTCACTCTGTTGAAACTTCTCAACATTTCATGCAAGTGAATTTCATAAAAACTTTACAGGGGCTTCACACCTTTCGGAACAGAATGGTACCTGATGCTATTTTACATTTTTGGGGGAAAGCAAACAATTTAAATACCCTTTCCTTCAAAATAACCCACTGTCAAAAACGTGAGCCTCCAGTGAGTGGACATACATGGTGATCATTAGGAAACAGATGCGCAGATGTGCATGCTTGTGGCTACAGCCGCTCTGCTGAGCAATCAGCTGCTTCTCAGGGTGGTCTGGTCTGTTCCGCATCTGAATTTTTATATCCGAAGCTATATATTGTTTAATGTGCACTAAAGAAAGACAGAAAGTTAATCACAATTATTAAATTAAATAGCTTTGCAGATTCACTTCAAGGTCATCGTTATCACACCTGAAGTTGCATTTATTGATCAAAAATCTTAGCTATTCCACTCAAGTTTTTGGTAAACCTAAAACTGCTTTTTAAAAAAAGTCTACTAATTTAAAAATAAAAACAAAAATGCAGTTTTATTCAGAGTGTAAACAAAATCTTAAATTTCAAGCTGTTTCTAGTATTTCAAAAGCCAATAGTAAAAGGCAAAACATAGTGAGGATTACATATGCAAGCCTATCTGTGACCTCACTGCATTAGGTAGAGAGAAGCATTTACATTGCAATATGAAACAATAAATATATTAAGGTAAACCATTTAATTTGTTTAAATGCAAACTGCAGGAATTTCAAAATGCAAGGTTTTATTTGTATTCAATACCAACCTGGTAGTTCAGGTTTTTTTCATACCTTAATAGACATTATGACCACACCAAGCACAATATAATGTCATTTAATTTGTCAAAAATGGTCTTTCTTGTGTATTTATTTAAAGAAAATTTTAAAGGGTGTCATTATTTTGTATTGGGTAAGGCTGACTATTTCCAAAGGTTTTATTATATCACACAAAAATTACAAAGCAATTGTCTAAATTGTTAAGATTTCTCAAAAGCTATTTAGTTGTTTTTTTTTAAAAAAAAAAAAAGGGGGAAATACTAAGCTACTGAGATAGGATGGCCGGTTTCCCCTTATTTTATTTACAGTTGAGAAAACTGAAGTTCTGAGAAACTGAATCATTTGCCCAAGGACAAACAACTAGTAGGTGGCAGACTCTAGATTCAAATTCATGACCATCTTATTCTCAAGTTCATGCTTATAATCACTTATGCTGGTGTGTGCCTGAGCTTGCACGGTGTCAGGAGGCATTGGGGGAAGAAGAGACTGGCATTTCAAAGGCAGAATCCACAAGCAATGGCCATACGTCAGAGAGATTGACATTTTGACAAGTAAGGGTTAGAAATGTACTAAGGCTTCTAGCTGAGAGATTTAGGAAAGTAGTGTTGCTACCATAAAAATAAATAAATATGCAAACAAACAAGATGGGACTTTCATTTAGGTAAAAATGTGCTGAAATTGATGTTGGCCTTGCTGAGTCACAGATAACATTAAGACTCACCGGTAGAGCCATCATGTAGCCTATTAGACAATATAGGACTATTGAAAGTCATTGCCAAAAAGTAGATTTAAAATCCATTAATAGGGTAGTGGTTGAAACCAGAAGAGTGGAAGGACACTGAGAAAATACAAAGAAAATTAGAATCTGAAAAGGGAAAAAATCATCTAAGCTGCAGGGAATGCCCCACTTGTAGGTCTGAGAAGGGAAAAATGTGAGAGAAGAAAAAATAAACAAAATAAAAACCAAAATGTTAAAGGCGAACCAAGACAACATAGAATTATGAAAACCGATAGTAAACATGGCTAAAATTTATTGAGCACCTGGATCAAGTTTGTGCTCTGTATTTTACATACAATATCTTATTTAATCCTTAGAGAGGGAGGTTTGTGTATCTCTATTGATAGAGGACTCAGAGGCTTAGCAAAGTTAAGTCATATACCCATCACTCAGCTAGGCAAAAAGTAGAATCCATGTTCCAGCCTCCAGAGTCTATTTCCTAACCAGTGGTATCCATAGTGCACAAAGCAAGCCACTGTGCGAAGAAAATATAACAATTATGATTGTTGTAACTCATCCTTTTTACATTGTATTTTTGTGTACACAGTCAGCCCTCTATATCTGCAGGTTCTGCACCTGCAAATCCAACTCACCACAGATCAAAAATATTTGAATGGAATTTAATGAACAAACTGAACAACCAAGCAAAATAGAGATAGACTCAGATACAGAGCAGGCAGACAGCTGGTGGGGGGCGGAGGGTGAGATGAGGGGAATAGAGGGGTTGAGCAAAACAGAAGAAAAAATACAGAGAACTTGTGGACATGACAACAGTGTAGTGATGGCTGGGAGTGGATAGTATGGAGGTGGAAGAAGACATAGAGGAGATAAACAGTTATGGAAAAAATAAAATAAATCTATTTGAAAAAAATGTTACATTGTTGCTGACATGCACTATGTAGTAGGTCTATTGTTGCCATGGTAGTAGACTGTTTTTCTTGTAATTATTCCCTAAACAATACAGTATAACAACTATTTACAAAGTATTTACATTTTATTAGGTATTCTAAGTCAGTGGTTCTCAACCTTCCTAATGCCGCGACCCTTTAATACAGTTCCTCATGTTGTGGTGACCCCCAACCATAAAATTATTTTCGTTGCTACTTCATAACTGTAATTTTGCTACTGTTATGAATCGTAATGTAAATATCTGATATGCAGGATGTATTTTCATTGTTACAAATTGAACATAATTAAAGCATAGTGATTAATCACAAAAACAATATGTAATTATATATGTGTTTTCTGATGGTCTTAGGCGACCCCTGTGAAAGGGTCGTTCAAACCCCCAAGGGGTCGCGACCCACAGGTTGAGAACCGCTGTACTAAGTAATCTAGAAAGGATTATAAAGTATATACAGGAAGATGTGGGTAGACTATGTGCAAATAATATGCCATTTGACATAAGGGATTTGAGCATCCTCTGATTTTGGCCTCCAAGGGGGCATCCTGAAATCAATCTGCCATGTACCCATAGTGACAATTATACTATACAACCCGCGTCCTATATTAGTATGGTAATATATGCATATCATACATGCATGCATACTTTATAAATTAATAAGTACACATTTATGGATATATGATCAAATAGTTTACTAATCTAAGGATGCCATAAAAAGTTTTGGAGATCATTGTTTAAATCACTAGACACAACTGCCTTTTTTGGCTTGTCCCTTCTTCATCAAGAAACTGTGTTCACTTTAATGACCATGATGTTACCCTTTAAATGCAATATTAGTTCCAATTGAGTTGAATAAAAACTGTTTATTTCATAGGTTCTTTCCATGTCATTCCTCAGTATTTTCAGAAATTCACAAAGGTCTTTGAGCCACTTAGTGCATTGTAATAGTGGACGGAACACAGGGTTTAGACTAGAGAGATGTAGGTTCAAATATCCACTTGGACCTTACTGACCATGTGACCTCAGACAAGTGCTGAATTTCTTAGAGCCTCAGTTTACACATCTGTAAAATGGAGGTAATATATACATTGCAGATTGTTGTAAAGTGCAGCAACATCAAGGGAAATAACTTAGCACTGGGCCTGGCATACAGTAGATACTGTTAAAAGGGCAGCAAATGGTAATAATAGCAGCAATACTTTTTAACTGTCCACATCTGTGGTCCCAGTAGTCTCTAAAACCAGGTCACATATCTTTGGCAAAGTTTGGCCTATATTGTTCTTAATTCAACCAGGATACATATTTGAGCATAAACAAAAGTATTTTCCTGAAATAAGTAGGGTCACTGCGTATGGCTATGGGGGCATGCCCATTTACATGGACTGTAGCAGCAGTGGCTCCTCCTGATCTTGTGTAGAGTGATAGCCCTGGAAATGCACTGGCAAAAAACACAGAGGACCAGAAATATGACAGCTGCAAGAGAACCAAAGAGATGGAGGCCATTGTCTGAACTTGCATTGGTTGGTATGTTGAATGCCTGTCGACTTGTTTAATGCTCTCCACAGATCTGCACTCCCGACCTGGTGGTATTCCTGGCTTGTACGAATCAGAGGCTCAAAGAAAGATTGCTGAAGCGAGCAGAGCAACAGGGCCGGCCTGATGACAATCTGAAAGCTACGCAAAGGAGACTAATGAACTTCAAGCAGAACGCTGCTCCGCTGGTTAAATACTTCCAGGAGAAGGGGCTCATCATGACGGTAAGTGAGCCATGGTTCTACATGTCCTGGACAAGAACGACCTTTCGTATTTCTCATTAGTCCCTATTCTCATGTAGAAATCTATTTTACATTTGAAAAGTGGGGTTTTTTTTGGGGGGGGAGGTTCAGATTTAATTTTAAAAATGGATAATTTTGACCTGATTTGCCTTTATTAAGCCAGAATGATAAAAATATGCACACTTTTGTTTAATTGATTTTATAAAAGATGATAACTTTTAACCTTGGCTAGAATTCCATAGCCCCCAAATCAAAAAGGATTTTGAAATAATTATTTGAATTATTTTAAGCAATACTTGCCCAGCTTCTCAGCTCTTCTGTCTTTGGAAACCTAACAAAATTGGTGGACTTAAAAACACATAGTGGACTTAGTATTCTACATATTAGACTTACATTGTGACTTAGGCTTCATCGTAATATCCCACATAAAGAAATGAGATTCTGAGGAAATAAAAACATTTCCTAAGGGTTCGACTTGTCATGAGGAAGTGCTACTGTCAAAAAACAGAAGGTGTTGATCTTTCTGCTCCATCGATACAATGCAAACGTCAATATTTTCATAAATGTTTAGTTTGTTTTATGGCTAATGATATGCAGAATGCCAATGAAGGATGAGGCTGAATCATTAATTAATATAATTGCTAGAATAGAGGATGTTAAAGGTGAAGATTCAGCTCAATTTATGATCCCCATAACATCTTGGATTCAAGTATTAAAACAGAGGAGAGGAGGATCATAGGATCTGAAAAAGGAATTTTACGGAAGAAGACACTAAAATTGGGGCAACTCCATGGCAGCTGGCCGACCTCAGCAAACCCTCCCCTTAGCCTCTAGGTCCGTCCTTGTCTGATGGGGTTGCAGCCCCCGTAGAGAATCTGATTAAAGTGACCGTGCCCATTCCAATACAATACATGTACAATGTTTCTCACAAATTTTAAATACATCTACTGATGCCCATCCACAGAGCTCCTATGACCCAACAATTACTGGGTTCAAGTATCTCTTCATTAGACTAAAGTGCCCTTAAATCTGAAAGGGATAGCCACGACATTTGAATAAGAATCTCGTTGCAGTCTTCTTAGCTGTGAAGAAATATTTATTAGGATTTGCTCTTTAAGTGGAAGTTATGTCAGAGAATTGTAAATTCGATCTGAAAATTGTTTACAGTGCCAGAGTTCATTGTATGGTCTCAAAGAGACATTAAGTTACAGGAAAGATTTCAGAAAACCAGGGTGGATGTTTCTGTAACTATTTGTTGCTGGGGTTACTGCTTGTTTCTCTTGCACATTACCAACGCTGAGTTCTGCGTGCAAAAAAGAAATTGGCCCTACACACCAAACCCCAAAGGCTAGGTGCAGAGCCAGAGTTTTAACTGATGTTTGCAAGGCTTGACGGTATGACTGCAGCGTTTCTGATGACTCCCTGCTTGTCACGTTCGGCGTCGCGAGCAGAGTAGATTTCCCCAGTGAATGCAGAGAGGGGATTGTTAATTTACTAATATTTTGCATGGAAGTGAAGTGCCGTCGCCTCTAATTGAGGGAGTCAGTACCAACGTGGATGACAGCCTGTATTGTAACCTCATTGCTAAAACCAAATGAGCTTGAAAATAAACGCTTCTATTTACTGGGAGAATGCCTGCCTTGGGAAGTCGCCTTTTGAAAAGCGGTGAGTATTAAACACAGGCTAAGCCCCGGAGAATGTAATTTGAAAATCAGTTTGACAAAAGGCTGCCTCCTGAACCACATCTCCTCCTTCAGAACCTGGGCCATAGTTCACTTTTGGAATTAAATATGGTAGCATTTCTACTTTTAAAGATGAGTTAAATAACATAAAAAATAGTTTTCTTTATTCATCACAAGCATATTAAGATGTTAGTAAAAATCTTGGGTTAATAGATCAGACAAAGATATTTCCTTTTCTCTGTAGTTTTTCTTTCCTGTTGCTTCTACCTGCCCCTCGTAATTTATTCATTTACCCATTCAGTAAGTATTTATTGAGAACCAATGGGTGCCAGACATTCTGCTAGGTGTTAGGGGTGCACAGTTAAATAAGCAAAAGGTAAGGCTGTTCCTTTTTATTCACTGGCATATTCCAAGCACCTAGAAGGGTCGTTGTCTGGTACATAGCATGCTCCCACTAAATGAGCCGAGCTTACAGTCTACTGGGAAAGTGATGTTAAACATGAATCATCGAGTGTGATGACTGGCAAAGGACTAGAACAGGGGTGGGGAACCTTTTCTCTGCCAAGAGCCATTTGGATATTTATAGCATCATTTGAGGGCCATACAAAATGATCAACTTAAAAATTAGCTTGCTCTATTTGGTCAAGCATTTAATTAACTCTCCTCTAATGCCTTGGCAGGGCCAGACTAAATGTTTCACCAGCCTTATGTGGCCCGAGGGCCGGACGTTCCCCACCCCTGGCTTAGAG